AAACCCTAAAACCCTAAACCCGAACGTAGTGGTTTTCGGTTCAGGGGGTGTCCAGAGTGCCGATCAAGGGGGGAAAGATGCAGCCAGGTCTTGGCGTTGTCACGCGAAGCTGTTCCAGGGTTCAGGGTCTAGGGTTTAGGGCTTCGGGTTTATTGTTCAGGGTTTAGAGTTTACGGTTTGAGGCTTCGGGTTTAGGGTTCAGGGCTTAGGATGTTGTTGTTCAGCACCTTATTTCGTCTGCACCAACCCTCTGACGCCTGGGTTTTGGGAGTTAAGTGTAGGGTTTAGGGTTTAGGGTTTAGGGTTTAGGGTTTAGGGTTTAGGGCTCAGCCAAAACCCAAAACCTCCTATCGCAAAGCACCTGGACCGTCCACTGCGGTTGTGCCGCGACCCTCGCTCCTGAACACTACACTGTACAGTCGCTGAGAAAGCCATAAACCCTTCTTCGCACAACCCTACAAAATCCCTATAAAAAGCGCTCAAAAAAGCCTATAGAAAGCTTTTGTAGAAACCCTCAACCCGACACCCCAAACCCAAACCTTAATAGTACCTAAATAGATCCCTTATAGAAACCTCCAAAAAGATCCTTGAAAGGAATCTTAAACCCGAAACCCTATAAACCCCTAAACCCGAAATGCACCAACCCCTAAACTAAACCCTAAAGCCTAAACCTCTAACGCCTAAACCCCTAACGCCTAAACCCCTAACTCCTAGCCCCTAAACCCTACCTAAACTCCCAACCCCTAGACCCTAAACCCCTAACCCATAACCCCTTAAAGCCTACCTGAACCCCCAACCCCTAAACCCTAAACCCCGAACCCACCCCTTAAACCCTACCTAAACCCCGAACCCCTAAACCCTAAACCCTAAACCCTAAACCCTACACCGTAAACCCTAAACCCTAAACCCTAAAACCCTAAACACTAAAACCCTAAACCCTTAAAGAGACCCTAAACGTCCGACAGGGGGCCACCACGTGCTCAGCGCGTCCGGAGCGCTCCCGAAAGTTCGCGCCGGCCGCTGATCAGCCCAGGGTTTCGCAACCTGCTTCAAGGGGTTTAAGGCTTCGGGGTTAGGGTTTAGGGTTTATAGGCATAGGGTTTGGGGTTTAGGGTTTGGGGTTTAGGGTTTAGGGTTTTAGGGTTTTTGGGTTTTAGGATTTAGGGTTAGAGGTTTAGGGTTTAGGGCTTAGGGCTGAGGGTTCAGAGTTTCTAGGGTTTGGGGTTTAGCGTTTAGGGTTTAGGGCTTATAGGGTTTAGGGTTCAGGGTTTAGGGTTTAGGGCTTAGGGTTTAGGGTTTAGGGTTTAGGGTTCAGGGTTTAGGTTTTTTGAAGCTCCTTTCTACCGCAGCCCCTGCAGCTGAGGCTTTAGGATTTTTGTTAAGCTCAGGGTTTAGGGTTTAGGGTTTCCTTCAAGCATTTAGGGTTCAGGGTATGGTAAACTACCACGATCCAACTTTTGTAGCTCCCTCACGCAAGCCCTCGTAAGGAATTTTAGGGTTTAGGGTTTAGGGTTCCTTTAAGCGCTCCGCCGTTCGATTGGGGCTCGGGTTTAGGGGTTTGGTAACCCTCAAAGCAGCCCTTAAAGCTACCCTTGCCGAACCCTGAAAGAAACCATCAAAAGAAACCCTAAACTCTAAACCCCCAGGGAGCCCTAAATGCTCTTGGAGCACCGAATCACCCGCCGCTTGACAGTTCAGGGGCAATTACAAGCAGTGCTTTATGGTCTAGGTGCAGGGTTTAGGGTTGAGGGTTCAGGGCTTAGTGGTTGCGGTTCGGGGCTTATGCAAAACCCTAAATCGGTCATGAGTCCATTAGCTGGGGATGTAAGAACCTATGGCCGTAGTTCTGCATGACCGTCCTTGCCACGCCCTCCCCACCCTCTCAGCACACCGCAACCCCTTGGCGAACAAAACGTTCTGGAACCCTTTAACACCCTCATCAAATCAGCGAAGCCCGAAACCCTAAAGCGTAAACCCTAAACCCACAAACCCCAAACCGGAAACCGGATGGCAAGATAAGGATTCTGGCGTAAGAAGCCTGGGTCGGCGTGCGGTTCGGGGGTTTCAGCGGTAGAGCTCACGGTTTCAAGTTTGGGTTTAGGGTGTAGGGCTTGAGGTGTGGAGGTTAGGGTTTACATAGGTCGTAGGGTTTAGGGCTTAAGGTTGGGATTGTTTGGGATTTAGGGTTGAGAGCGTAGCGAACCGTGCCGGAATCATAAGGCGAACTTCCCTCGCCTCGGTGCAGAGCTCACAGTACTTCTGCTCAAACAGGTCCAAGCCAGACATGATGTGGTAGCGCTTCCTCCATTCGAAATACTTCTCATAACGTTCAGCGTCCTGCAGCAAGGCAGCACTAGGGCTTTTGGGCGTTAGAGTTTACTTACGGCTTATGCCGATAATGAGAAACGGAGTGGCTTAACGCTACCACTCAACAAACATAGTGACAATTACACGCTAACACGTTCAAAAGTAGGTTCGCACGGCTCCGAACCTGGGCTTTGAAGTAACCGGGAGAAAAAAAAGTATAGACTTTTAGTTCATCATGGTTCCTTTAAGGAGCAGGTCCCCCCCAAAAAAAGTATTAAAGCATGGTATTCCAAAGCCCAGGAACCTTGTCCAGCTCCTGTAAGAAACCTTGGCTGACTTCTGAACCCCTCCTAAAGGTTAAACTTTTAGCCTCCTTATTATAGTTCATATAGGAACCCCAAAAAGTTAAAGTCCTAAGAGCTAACCAGAAGAACGCCAAGAAACTTGCGAGATCTGCGACAGTCGAGAAATCGTCCACATGGATGAAAGAACCTTCGGGCCGCCAACTCGGAACCCGATAGGGTTTAGGGTTTAGGGTTTAAGGTTTGAGGTTTAGGGTTTGAGGTTTAGGCTTTAGGGTTTTAGGGTTTAGGGTTTAGGGTTTAGGGTTTAGGACACCCCAAGCCTTACTAAACCCGAAATCCTAAACCCGAAACCCGAAACCGTGTGGCTACCAGACCCACGACGCTCTTCCCCGAGCTGCTAAGACCAGGGGTCACACCGTGAGGGTCCAAAGGACCGAACTATTAGTTACTTGGGTTGAAGATAACACTCGGATCACAGTTTTGTAGGCCACTATTTGGGAGAGTATATGAATTTGGGAACCTTAGGACCAACCCTCTTCGCAAGGAAGAACACTACATTGGATTTAGGAGTTTCGGGTTTGGGAGGTTTGGGGTGCAGAGTTGAGGAGTTTCGGGTTTAGGAGTTTACCTAAACCCTAAACCCTAAACCCTGAACCCTGAAATAAGGTTTAAGGTTAAGGCCCAAACCTGATCCGAAAGCCTGCCTACAACACTCAGCTGCAAGCCAGAGACAAAGACATGACGCCAGGAAGGCCCTGGGTAATCATACTGCTCTTACAGACACCAGCACAGGTTCTGAGTTGTAATTTTTGCAAATGGTTTCTGCTGTATCAAAACTGTACATGGCTAGCCTTACTCTTCATTGAAACTTCATCCCCACACGCACACGAAACAAAAAACAAACCCCCATTATTGTAGGCCCTCCAATACACCAAAACCACAAAAACCTTCTTCCGCAATACCACCTCAATGATACCTGTACGCACTCTGTCTCTCTCACCCACTGGAGTTGCAACCGCTGCGCGAGTTCTTTCATTGATACGCTTATAACTGATAATCTATATGCATGTCTTGTGGTTGGCATGTCCCTGGTACTTCCCCGCGAGATACCCAAAACAACATAACACAACTATTTGGGCAGTTCTCTAAATTAGGGTCCCCTTTTAGGTCCCCAATATAATACGGCACCCTTATAGAAAGGACCCTAAAAGGGACCCTAATTTAGAACACTACCCATTTTGGTTGCAAAAGGGAATCGGGCTCTGCTGGGAAGCACTCAACCCAAACTTCACAGCCACGAGCTATGCCCAAGACCCAATTCCCGCGTAAACACCCAAACCCGAAACATTAAAGCCCAAACCCTAAACGTTTAACCCTAAACCGTAAGCTCTGAACGCAAACCCTTATAAAGCCCCCACCCCAAACCCAAACCCCCAAACCCCAAACCCCAAACCCCAAACCCCAAACCCTAAACCCTAAACCCTAAACCCTATTCAGTAGCTCGGCAGCCCTTCGGTATCAGCTTCTCGTAATCCTCTCGGCTGCGACCGCCCCAGACCTGAGGGCTCTCTTGGCAATCAACAGGCTGGCGTTAGGGTTTAGGGTTTAGGGATTAGGGTTTACGGTTTAGGGAGTAGGGTTTAGTGTTTAGGGCTTTGGGTTTAGGGTTTAGGGTGTAGGGTCCAGGGTTATGGTTGTTCTTTTACTACCCCTTTTCCGCCTGCCCAAAGTTGGACTGAACGCCAAACTAACCCATGATAGGGTACTTCTCTCTCCAAACAGTGCAAGTCAGGCACTCCAGCTTTCGCGTCTAGGATTTTGGGTTTAGGGATGTTTAGGGTTTAGGGTTTTGTTTACCTGCGGCGGGTTTAGGGTTGAGGGCTCCTTAACGCCCTTAGAGTTGGGGTCGGGTTCAGTAGGGCTGAGGGTTTAGGGTTCGGACTCAGGCATTCCAAAAACGGCTCCTTTTATCAAGGGATCTCTTCAAGGGATTGTCTGCATGGGGGCCTGTAACGAGTTCTATTGGGGTCTTCGGGTCTAGCGTTTGGGGTATCTCATCTTATGAAGCCTTTCTACAAACCGTACAGAGCCCCTACAACACTATAGCTATCCTATCAACAAGCTTTACGTTGTAGGTGGCGATAAGAAAAGACTCCTGAGCCCGAAACCCCAAACCCTCACTGCGAATACTCACAAACCCGACACCTTCAACTCTCGAGCCCTTTAAACCCTAAACCCTAAACCTTAAACCCTAAACCCTAAACCCTAAACTGCTAAACCCGAAACTCCCCAAACCTAAACTCCCAAACCCGAAGCCCTAGAGTGCCCCTCTAAATCCCTTTTGGGAACCCTTTGTCATTCCTTCAAAGGAGTCCTAGAGCCTAAAGTCCTAAAACCCTAAAGCCCTAAGGGTTTAGGGTTTAGGGTTTAGGGTTTAGGGTTTAGGGTTTAGGGTTTCCTGAACCCCCAAACCCGTATAATCAGTTGCTGTACAGGAGTCCTGGCCTAAACCCTAAACCCTAAACTCCTATAATTAATTCCTTCTTCAAGGACTAAACCCTAAACAATAAACCCTAAACCCCCATCTAATTCCTTCTTTAAGGAATTCTGGCCTAAATTCTAAACCCTAAACCCTAAACCCTAAACCCTAAACCCTAAGCCCTAAATCCTAAAAAGAGCCCCTGGGCCCCAAGCGATGGGCACCATCCCGTACCTCATGGCGGTCCACAGCTTCTCCGTGATGTATCCTTTTAAGGTTAAGGGTTTAGGGTTTAGGGTTTAGGGTTTAGGGTTTAGGGTTTAGGGTTTAGGGTTTAGGGTTAAGGCTTGCACGGTCTAGGGTTCAGGATTCGGGGTCGTAGGGCTTAGGGCTGGTAGGGTTTAGGGTTGTAGCGCTTAGGGTTTTTAGGGTTTAGGGGTTCGCGTTTAGGCTCTTAGCGTTTTGGATTTAGGGTTTAGGGGGTATGCCTGCTTTGATTTTGAATTTCTCTAAGAACTGAGCCCTGAAGCTCCCTGCTTGTCGAGTTTAACATGCAGGGTGTGCCTAAACCCTGAACCCTAAACCCTAAACCGTAGGGTTTAGGGTTGAGGGTTTGGGGTTTAGGGTTTGTGTTTAAGTTGCGGTGTTAAGGGCTTAAGTTGTTTTTGGCTTTACCGGGCTTTGCAAAAGGTTGCATGGGGGGGGTGTCTCATCAAAGTTTACAAGTCTCTAGTCTAAACCCTAAACCCTAAACCCTAAACCCTTAACCCTTAACCCTAAACCCTAACCCAAAGCCCTAAACGTCTTCAGAGGTTTTCATAGGGTCTTCGGACTTAAGGTCTAGGGCTTCAGGGTTCAGGG